GAGATTAAAAATAATAAATGAATGAAGGATAAAAATGTATAATTTGTATTTAAAAAAAAGAAATAGGACAATAATTGTTGGACGTCGTAAATAGAAAATTAGGATATTAGTTTGTGGACGAAGGAAGTACGAAAGAAGATTGGGTGTTGTTTAAATCAACATCATTAGTGTAAAAAATAATTATGTTATAATTTTATAAATTATATAATTAATACAATTATATTAATAAATTTTACACTAATCAACATGAGTGTTAATTTAAAAAATAGCACCCAATTCTCATAAAATATATTCAAGTGTGTACAGTGTGATTTGCCTTGTCAAACCTAGTTTGCAGGGTATCAGAATCGACCGAGGTTTTACTCAATGCACACTTACGGATAGAGCTGTTAACGATCCGAGCCGAGTCATACTTTAAGTGTTCGTTAACGTTCACGAACAAGGCTTGTGTTCGTTCGTTAAGCTTTCGAGCTCGTTCGTAGTGTTCGAGCTCGGCTCGTTAAAATTTTTTGGTGATTGAGCTCGTATTCGTGTTCGGCTCGTTTAGACTCGATTAAGCTCGTTCGAATTCGTTCAAGCTCGTTTGTCTTATTTTCTAAATTTATATATAAATTATAAAGAAAATTTAAAATTATTTTATTTATATATTTTAATTTAATATTTTATTTATTTATAAATTATAATTTTATATGTACATATAATATTTACAATAAATATATTATTTAAACGAACGTTCGCAAACAAAGCTCGGGCTCGTTCGTTAACTAAACGAGTCTGTTTATGTTGTTCGGCTTGGCTCGTTAACGTTTGCGAACGAGCTTTAATCGAGCCGAATCGAGCCGAGTTCATGAACAGCTCGACTCATTTAACAGCTCTACTCACGGGTAACGGCTGCGAATTTCGGCGTCATTATAAAAAATAAAATAAAATACTTTAAGTGTACATTATTGTAGTATGTATATAAATACTTGAACTGTCAGATCTATTCCATGTGATTAGCCTCCCAAGGATAGATCACATCGGAGATAAGATAAGAGGCCATTATAAAGATTTGAAATTTATTTCAATATTATTTATTTTATTTTTTAATAAAAACGACTACTATTAAAATTTAAATTAGTTAATAATAGTAAATTATAATATTATTTTATTACACAATTCGTCGTACGTATTTATTTTTTATTTTTGTCTTTACTAATTTTATCATTTTTTTTTCGAAAAGAATTAAACACTTTAACCTCATCTTTAATTTTTAAATTTTAATTAAATTAATTAGTTATTTTAATATTAATTTATAAAAATTATTTTTACTAATACATTTTTAATTATTTACTAATTATGCCTTCTTAAATTATCTTGTCTACAGTAAAGTGAACATCATAGCGGGGACGGAGGGAATATAATAATAATTAATATTGTTGGTAGTTTTAAAATAAAAATTAAATATATATAATTAAAATAAATTTCAATATGAGTTTAAATATTTTAAATATGGAGTGTGTTCTTATATCAGAAAATATCCAACACATTTTTCTTGAAAAAAATAATATTGTTTCTGATAACCATTTTTCTTTTTTAATTCATACCACAAAAGATGACTCATTTATATTTTTAGTAAATTTATTCATCTTAAATATACTTAACAAGGAGTATTAATCAATTTAGTTAAATTTCTAGCTTGTTACACGTATGACTCACTAAAAAATCTTTTATTTTAATCTATCTCTTCAATAAATAAATATTTTTATTTATATTTTAAATTTTTTTTTTATAAAATCAGTTTTGTTATTTATAAATAAATAAATAATTTTGTATTTATTTGTATTATGTAAAATTTTATTATCTACAAAATGATATTCCTATTGTATATATTTTATTGAGATATAATACTAAAATATTTAAAATACTAATAATACTACTCATAAAAATAATAAAGTAGTATGATAATTTATTATTAATAACTTACTAATTTAAACTAACTAAAATACGATGTCTGTAACCAAATGGGTCATCTTTTTCCAGGACGGAGGGAATACATCACGCACTCGATATTTTTATATTACCTACACAATTTTTTATAACTCACATAATAACAAAAAATAAAATTCTTCAAAGCAAAACATAAAATAAATAAACTTATGATATTTTAATAAAATATATGCAATATAAATATAAATTTTAGAGAATAAAATTTTAAATAATATAATAAAAAATATTTATTTATTTATAGTATTTTATAAAAAAAATATATGTATAAAAATATTTATTTATTAAGAAAAATAAAAATGAAAAAAAAAAGGAAAAAAAAAAAAGAACCAATTGAATTGACATTTGAGGGATATATATATATATATATATATATTGTTAAAAATCAAATAATTTAAATAATACAGTAACAAATTTTATTTGTAAGCAAAACAAACAACCGAAATAATAAAGAAGGAAAACAAACGTAATCAAATCAAAACACTACGCATCGCCGCCAAAGCTCTCAGCGGTCAGTTTCTTGCATTATTTTTTTTAAATTTTTTTTTATGACATTTTTAATTTTTATATTAACATCCAAGCCGTCCTTATCACAATAAGGTCATTTGGTTTGTTTGTTTGTTTATTTATAATAAAAAATTTTACATTGAACATCCAAATGTGGGTTTTTTTTTTTTTTTTTTTTTTTTAAACACTCCACACACGCACACCCCGATGAGAATTCTACTCAATACATTTACATATGCACCCAGCCAGGATCGAATTTGGGACCCAACCCTCAAACGAGGATGTTTCACCGCTTGATCTACAAGTGTATGACGCATCCAAATGTGGGTTTCAGAGTGGCCGAATTGCATAAATATTTTTGTGTTTATTCTTTATATGTGGATAGATACACATCCAATATTCATTTATTGCATTGCTTTAATATTGTGGATTTATTTGTTTTGTATTTTGGTTTTGATGTATTTTTTTTTAGGAGAAAAATTATTTTTGATCTCAATAAAAATTCATCAATTTTGATTTAAATATAAAATTTTTATCAATTTAGGTTCCAATATAACCAAAACTCATCGTTCTTTGTCACAATCTAAAATTTTTATCAATTTTAGTCCCAATATAACCAAAACTCATCATTTTTTGTCCCGATATAATCAAACCTTATTTTTTTGGTCCCACCGTAAACAAATCGACGGAAAATGCTGACGTGAACTTGCAAGATTGTGCAATTTCTTCAAATATAAATATAAGGTTTGATTTCTTTTTATTTCAGCATTTTTTGTAGTTTTGTTGACGGTGGGACCAAAAAAATAAGGTTCGATTATTTTGAGACAAAAAATGATGATTTTTATTATATTGGGACTAAAATTGATAAAATTTTATATTGAGACAAAAAATGAGGAGTTTTGGTTATATTGAGACAAAAAATGATGAGTTTTGGTTATATTGAGACAAAAAATGATGAGTTTTGGTTATATTGAGACCAAAATTGATAAATTTTTTATATTGAAACCAAAATTAATTAGTTTTCTTATATCGAGACTAAAAATAATTTTTTTCCTTTTTTTTATATGAGATAAAAATAATTTTAGTAATATAAAGAATAATATTCTTTTGTCTCTTTTTAATGTAATCACCAGGGTTTTATAGTAAATTAAAATATAGTACGTCAAGAAGTAATAGTATTATATTAGATAGTTGATATATGTCAGAAGTTTTGATAATTATATGTATAATAATATGTTTGTAATTTAAATAAAAATTAAAAATATTATAGCATTAATATATATTTACTTTTAAATAAAAAAATAGTAAAAAATATTTTGAGTTGAAATAGAAAAAAAAAGTATTTTATATTAAGTACTGATTTTTATTTTTTTAAAAAATATATATATTGAAAAAGGTGTTTGAATAAAAAAATGGATAGACAAACAAACTCGCGTGCAATATCAATTATGAAGTTCATTGGACATAGGTTATTTTGGAACAAACAATTTAAAACAAAAAGTCAAATTCAGATAACAACTAAACAAACCCATGATAATCTAGAAATAAGTACTCAGTCCGTCCAATCTGCTATGTCCATATTACTGTTTCTATCCGTCTTATATTTTATTTTTTAAAAAATAATTATATATTTTAATTTCATTTTAAACTTTTTAATTTTAATTAAATTAATTAGCTATCTTAATCTTAAATTTATAATTATTTATATTATAGAATAATTATTTTTACTGATATATTTTTATTTATGTATTAATTATACTTATCCTAAATTATCGTATCTACAATAACACAGATATCCAATATGGAACGGAAGGAATATATAACAAAAATTAAAATAATTATAAGTAACATTTTTCTATTTTCACATCCTAATCCAAATTCCCCGTCAAAGTTGGGAACCAACGGCAAACACACACATATATGTATATAAATTCGAGAGGAAAAAATTGTAAAAAATATTTTTTATGTATACCTATTATCACATGTATGTATCTTATTGACAAAATATATTTTACATGTTTACAAAAGTCGCTATTTATATCATTTAGCTGGTCGTGACGATCACACCACACTCGCAGTGATGTGCGACCAAAGAATATAAATAGCGACTTTTGTAAACATGTGAGATATATTTTTCCAGTGTGATAAATATAAGACAAAAATAATAGTAAAGTATATATATGTGATATTTTTTGCAATTATATACTACTTCACTTCGGTTATAAGGGTTTACTTTTTGCTGTGTTAATATTTAAATATTAATTATTATATCAAAAAGTATTTTAAAAAATAAATTTACAAAAATATTTTTATTAATGTTTTATAATACTAATAAAATGATATTTGTATATTTTAATAATAATAAAATGACATTTATATAAAATAATATAAAAATATAAAAATATTTTTAAGATAAAAGTATAATCTTGCAAAAAGATAAATATGACTTGGAGAAATATATATATATATATATATATTTATATATACTAGAGACATGATATATCTGTGTAGTTAATTATTATTGGATTTATGTTGGGAGAGAGCTAGGTAGGTGGCATGGCGACCCACATCCTGATGTTTCCGATACCTCTGCAGGGCCCCGTCAAGTCGATGCTCAAGCTGGCGGAGCTCCTCCGCCCCCACTTCCAGATAACTTTCCTGGTGACGGAGCACATCCACCGGCGGCTGCTCCGCCACTCCAACATCTCCGACGACGACGACAGCGACGGGGCCGGGTTTCGAATCCGGGCGATCCCGGATGGGCTGCCGGAGGAGCATCCCCGGGGGGGCGACGACTTCCTGGAGATTTTGGAGTCCCTGAAGAAGACGAGCAGGCCTCTGTTGAGGGAGATGCTGATTTGCAGCAGCAGCAGGAAGAAGATCTCCTGCGTGGTGGCCGACGGGATCCTGGGATTGAGCTGCCACGTGGCGGAGGAGGTCGGGAACGGCGTGGGTGTGTTCCACGTGAGGACCATCAGCGCTGCGTGCCTTTGGGTCTTCTTCTGCCTTCCCAGATTGATCAGATCTCGAGACCTTCCATTTCATGGTATTGCTCACCCTCACTCACTTTTCTCTCTCTCTAAAAAATAGTTTTACTCCAACCGCTCCGGACATGCTGTTTTTTTTTTTTTTTTTTACCAATATAATTAATAAATAATTAAAAATATATTAATAAAAATAATTATCGTATAATAAAAATAATTTTTAATTAAAATAAAAGTAATCGATTAATCTAATTAAAATAAAAAAAATATAAATTAAAAAAATATAATATGAAATTATAAGTATAATTATTTTTTTTAAAAAAATGACTGAATAAGTCACAAAGACATAAATAATAAGGTGATACGGTTTGTGAGACGAAGAGTGTATTATAAACAAGAAAATTTTTCATTTCCTTCGTATCTCTTTTTTTTTTTTTTTTTTTTATATTCCGTATATATTATTTATAAAAATAATAATTATTATTACCTAATTTTGAAAGTATGTGTTCAACTAAATGAAATATAATTTTCAAAGAAATATGCAGTAACTTTTTTTATTTTTTAAATTTTTTAGTTATTTATTTATTTTTTATTTTAGAGAACCACAATTATATAGTAAAAAAACTTCAAATCAATTTTTAAAAGTTAATATTTGTTCACTTTGTATTTTTATAGTAATGTATTTCTATGTTAAATATGAAAAATCGTATTAGTAATACCATATTATTAATTTTTTTTTTAAATAAATAAATTATATATTGTGTTTATGTTATACAGATTGATAAATTAGATATCAGTAATATCTAAAATAAATTCGATCAAAATTTATATTGAATTAATGTATATTATATAAATTCTTGATCGTTATCTCATATTCTTATTTTTTATTAAAACTTCTATTATTATCGATCTAAAATAATTTCATATCATATTTAGGTTGTGATTGTTTGAGAGATTTTCTTCAAATTTTACTACTTATTTAATTTTTTTCTTCAAAAATATTAAATTAAACTTTTATTTTCAATTTTTATTATTTAAATTTCAATTCAAAATCCAAAACTCCAACCCATCTGCTCCAACACACAATTATATATGTATCTACACACTGTGTGTGGGGGCAGAGTTGGGCGGGGGAGAAAGGGCCCACTATCTTATCCCGGAAGAACATGTGTGAAACTTGCTAGCTACGAGCTTGGCATCAAAGAAACTTGGTTTACATTTATAATTTGAAAAGATTATTCAAAATTTTTATGTAATTTTGAGAATTAACATAAATTTTTTTATGTATTTTGATAATTTCATGATGCCCCTTTAAATTTTAAAAAATATTGCGTAAACTTTGAGTCATGTAAAAAATATAGATAAAACAATTATATCCTATGCAATTTTTAAATTATAAAAAAATTTAAGCAAAATTTCAAAATTGCAAAAAAATTATATATATACTCCATTTTATTTGTATACCATATCTTTTCATGTTTTAAATATAAAATATATTCCCTACTTTCTATAACAAGTGAGAATTTTTTTTTTTTTTTTTTCATAGTAATTGACACTTTTTAATTTTGATAAAATTTACTAAATTAAAATATACTTAACAAATAAATTAATTTAATTAATAAATAGTATTTAATATCATAAATCATGTAAGATTCACTCAAAGCCTCTTTATTTCTAACTATTTCCTAAAAAATTTAATATTTTTTATCTACATTTTAAAAATTTCACATATTTTATAAAATTAGTTTATATTAATTATAAATAAACAAAAATATATATATTTTTTATTTATTTGTATTATAGAAAATTTTATTCTCTACAAAATAATATTCATATTACATATATATATATTTTAGCGTGATATAATTTTTAAATATTTAAATACATAATTCTAATTTTTTTAATTATATATTTTAAATTTATTTTAAAACTAATATTATTAAATACTTAAAAAAATAATATCATAACTCATTATTATTAATTAATTAAACATAATTTTCTTAAAATCAATTGTATTGGGACAACGGTAGTATAAAGTAACAAAGGGTTTGTTCTTCCAAATTTGTTTCGACACAATTTTCAATATGTAACATATTTTATTCTCTCACAAAAATCAACATTCAACATAAAATATTACTAGTATTTTTTATATATTATCTACACAATTTCAAAACACTAAACAAATAAATCCAAAAAGTATACACAATATTGAAATCTATACAAAAAAATAAATGAGTATTTCTTTTTTACAGAAAAAGTAGTATTTTTCTTTTTCAAAAACACTTAAGAAATAAATTATTTTAATTTTAAATACTATTACATTATGAATATATTTAATTTAGAAGTATTACATCGATGTTTGTTTACATCACACAAATATTAATATTTTACTATTCTCACAACTCTATAAAACTCCAGTGTTCTTTTTTTTTTATTTTTTTTATTTTTTATTTATATAATATCTTTGTTATTATTATTTTTTTAAAAATATCATATTAAATAATTATCTTTTTATTTTTTTTATGTAATACTAAAAATTAATTTTATATTTAAAATATTATATTAATATCCACTACAAAAAAATATCAATTTTGTAACAAGATTTTTTCGTTCTTAAATCAATTTTTTTCGTTAATAATGGTTCTATTTGGTTTTAGTTTAATAATAAAATTTTGATTTAAATAAGTATTATTTTGATACGATATTTTATTCAAAAAAATATTTTTATTAAAAATTGTACAGATAATAGTAATTTGAATATAAAATTTAACCAAAACATTCTCTAAATTTTATTTTTAGTTTTTATATATTTTATATTAAATAGTTCTTAACTATTATACTTATAAAAAATTATTCAGTCAATATGATATTTAAAAAAGACAATAAAAAACGTAAGATCTCGAATCAATTAATACTTTACAGGTGTGTTTGTTTGAGGTTTTGAATTTTGGATTGTGATTTGAATAGTAAAAATTTTGAATTGAAACAGTGATATGATGTAATATAAATAAGTATTCATGTAATATTTTGAATGTAAAATTAATTTTTAGTATAATATAAAAAATTAAAAATAAATATTTAATTTGATATTTTCGGAGAAAATTTTTTGTATAAATAGTAAAAGTCCACCAAAATTCTTCAACCAAACACTCCCTACGTAGATACAGAATTGTCAACAGATCTTTAATATACTTAAAAGCACAATTAATGTGAAATATGACCTTTTTTTTTTTTAATAATTATAATACTCTCTCCGTCCACGGATAAAATATACATTTACTTTTGGCGCGGAATTTAAGAAATAATAGTATTTTAATATAGTGGGTAGGTAAAAGTAGTGTAATGACATTTTTGCCGTTGCTTTTTTGGTATAAAAGTAATGATCTGATATAAAGTAAAGGTATTTGTGAAAAAAAGTGGGGTATCTAATGAAATGGTTACTTTGTAATTGGACCTCCCAAAATAGAAATATGTATACTTTTGTAGCCGGACGAAAGGAGTGTTAAACAGATGGGTGGGGTGGGGGAACAAATGGTCAGTGTTGTTTTTTAATACTTGTCATTCACATGACCAAAAATCGAAATCCTGCAATTTTCAGAAACAAATTGATATATAATTAGAAAATTACAAAAGTTTGTATCTCAATTTAACATAAAATTTTATAACATAATTTCATGATATTTAGTTGTATTTTAATATAATATAAATAACTATATAATGTGATGCAATAAAATTCTATCGATGTAATATACGTTTGATGAGTTCTTTGTCCTGAATTGTTAATGAAATATTGAACATTTCATATTTATTAACTTGCTTGAAGTTATATTTAATTTTTTTCTTCTAGGAGATGACTTAGATACACCAATAAAAAGCATACCAGGCATGGAAAGTTATCTCCGCCGTAGAGATTTGCCGGAATTCTGCCGGTCCGGCGACATAAACCATCCAATGATCGAGTTGTACAAGAAAGAAGGTTCTGAGAATCCTCGAGCCCATGGTCTCATACTAAACACATTCGAGGAACTCGAAGGGCCAATACTCTCGGAGTTACGCAAAGTGTGTCCAAACATTTACACCCTCGGCCCTCTACACGCCCATTTAAAAGTCAAACAAATGTCACCAGACACATTCTCGAATAGCCTGTGGCAAGAAGATCAAACATGCGTGACATGGCTCGATGCGCAACCCCCAAAGTCCGTCATCTATGTGAGCTTCGGGAGCCTTGCTTTGATAACACATCAACAATTAATGGAGTTTTGGTACGGTTTGGTGAACAGTGAGCAAAGATTCTTGTGGGTGATACGACCTGATTCTGTGATCGGAAAAGATTGGGAAGACCGACTTCCCATTGAGTTATCAAAAGGTACTACTAAACATATAAGTAATATTTTTCAATATTTGTCATTTAGGTTATGTTTTTTTGTGTGTTCTATCACATGTTTTTACTATTCAGATTTTTTTTCCCTTAAAAAATATCGAATCAAACAATTTTATTTTATTTTATATTATACTACAAAATTATTTTACATTCAAAACGTCACATCGACAACTATTTATATCACATTAAAAAACTATTTAAATTCAACTTTTTACTATTTATAAATCCAAACCAAAAAAATCAAACCCATAAACGAACATACTCTTACATTCTTCTACATGATTTATAATTTATTAAAACGATAATGCTAACCTTTTTATAGTTATCGAAAAAATAAAAAGAGTGATGTTTTTGTTGTAATAGGTACAAAGGAGAGGGGATACATTGTGGATTGGGCGCCGCAAGAAGAGGTGTTGGCGCATTCTGCCATTGGAGGATTTTTAACGCACAGTGGATGGAATTCGACACTAGAGAGCATATACGAAGGGGTACCAATGATTTGTTGGCCATATTTTCTCGACCAACAAGTGAATAGTAGGTTAGTCGAGGCAGAATGGAAGTTGGGATTGGACATGAAAGATACATGTGATAGAAGTACGATTGAAAATATGGTGAGAGATCTTATGGATGTGCGGAAAGAAGAGTTTGCACTACGAGCAAAGCACATGGAAAATTCAGCTAAAGCGTCCCTTAGCGACGGTGGGACATCGCATGCGAACCTTGAGCGCCTGATAAATGATATCAAATTTAAAGCACGGTAAGTTGTTTCTGCGCGCTTTCGAAGTGTGGGAAGGAGTTTTTTCGAAGAAATTTTACTATAACACGGAGGATATCTTTTAGTAGATATCTCAATTTATGTAGATGTGAATATGAACCATGAAATAATATAGACTTTCATTTCTTTACATATATTAAAAAAAAAACACTTTTTTTTATTATTTAATAATCATAATTTTCAATAAAAATATTTTATTTCGTCTCACAAATATAACTCAAAATACGTACTATTTAAATCAAACTAAAATAAATAAATATATAAAAATGAAAATTTCAAGAGGATGCTGAAATTTTGCAATGTATATCACTTTGCATTTTGGTTTAGGATGATGTAGTAATGTAAAAAATATTTGTTTGCACACACTTCAAGAGTGTCCACCGGGATAATTTTTTTTTTTATTTTATTTTAAGATATAAAAAATATATATATAATATAAAATAAAAAATATAAAAATAAAATAAAATTTTTTTTTCTGTTCCAAAGACATAAGTTTTTGAGATTTTATAATATATTAAGAGGATGTTTGAGAAACAATTTTTTTAAGAGCTTTTAACTTATTGAATAATTTTTAACTGTTTGACCTGTCAAGAAGCTAATTTAGGTGTTTAGTAAATTAGCTTTTTAAAAGAGATTTTTAAATTCAAAAACCTAATTTCTGAAAAGGTTATCTATTCAACCTTTTGAAATAACTTTTTTATTATTAATTATTTTGAATATATTTAATTTATTAAATTATATTTTTATTTTTGTAAATTTAAAATAATTACTATTATTAATTATTATATATAAATTATTTTATTTGTAAAATATATAAATTTTTAAAACTAAATCAAATAGAAAAAAAGGTATTAATTTATTTATATATATATATTAAAACAATTATTAACATAATAAAAATATATATACGAAAAATTTATTATTTTATATTTTATATAATTTCAATAAAAAATTATTATTTTTTAGTAAAAATATTTTTTTCAAATCTAAATAATAAAATTAAAAATAAACATTTTATAATATTTTTATAAATTTTAATAATTAATAACAAAAATTCTCATAAATTTCAAACTAAAATGAACAAAATTAAATATTTTTAAAAAAATATGTCAATGTCCTTAATAGTCATTTTATGTATAAACAACTAATGTCAAACAGTTGCTTTACCAAACACTTTAATACAAACCGTTTATTGAATCAGCTGGTCAAAACAATTAATTGAATCAGCTGGTCAAAGCAATTAATTGAATCAGCTAACAGCTAATTGCCAAATAGAAATAATAATATTTGATTGAATAGTGGAAGTGTGTAAGAAATTTTGACATTTTTGTCCTTTGATTTTTTGTATAAAATAATTATATGTGCAATGATATATTTATAATTTAAGTAAAATTTAAATGATATTTTTTAATATTAGTGTATTATTACTTTCTCTAATAGGAAATAGATACTTTGGAGTGAGACGAATGAAAATGGTAAAAATGATACTTTGAGTTAACACATAGGAAATATAACATAAAATAAAATTTAAAACTTTTATTTTATTTTTATATTTTTTATATTTTTTTATCATTCGTAATTTTTTTTATAATTTAAAATTTTTAAAAAATAAAAATAAAAAATATACACGGTGCTGACCTGGCCGACATGTGTCTATCGGCATAGCACGCATGTGCCACATAAACATTAATGACTAAATGTGCAAAACTTTTTTACTTATGAGACTATTTAAGACAACCTTCAGTTATATAACTATAATGAAAAAGCTCCAATTACGAAACTAAAAAAAATCAATTTAGCTTAATAATAATAATAATAATAATCTTCGAATTAATTTATAATTTGTAATATCAATATTGACCAATAACTCAAAATAGACTATGCATATGTAAATAGATGACCAACAACATTTGTCTTTAAGATTAAAATGAGTTCTTTTGGAGAAATTGCAAAAAAATATTTGGTACATTGCTGGGGTGAAGTAAAAGATAAGGGTGATACTTGAATACACATAAATGATATTTTTTATAATTTTTTCAATTGTTTAATAATATAAATATTGAGCAAAGACTCAAAATAGACTGTGCACAAATAAATTAATTGACAATCAAAAAATTTTGTCCCTACCATTAAAATATTAAAATAAATTTTTTAATTTTTAAAAATTTTATATATCAATATTGAGCAATGACACAAATAGACTATGCATAAATAGATAGACAACCAACAACATTTGTCTCTAGGATTAAGATAGTTCTTGTTTGTTTGGGGATTAGATTTTAAATACGCTATTTTTTAATTCTTTTTTTTTTTTAAAAAAATAAAATCAAATATCTATTTTTTATTTTTTATATTATACTAAAAATTAATTTTATATTAAAAACATCACATCAACACCTATTTATATCGCATCATACAAAAATTCAAATTCAAAATTTTTACTATTCAAATCTCAACTCAAAATCTAAATCCTCGAGCAAACACACAATATAGAGCAATGACTCAAAATAGACTATGCATAAATAAATTGTTAGCTATATTATTATTTTTATTGTCTGTATTTATATCATATTAGGCCTAAGTCCATATTTATATATATATATATATATTTGTGTACATATTTATTTTAAACTAATACAATCATATTTTTCACCCCAAAAATTCACATGATATTAGAATCATTTTAATTCAAAATGGCTGAAATTTTAATCGGTATATTTTTGGCCACCACTATTCACCACCGCTGCCACCGTTGTTTTCCAAGTGCCTCTGTGGCTGTTTTCCGAAAATTTCAGCTTGATCTGCAACGCATATCAGCAAAAATGCATCAATTCAAGTAGGGGTTGAATTTGTGAACGTGAGGTCATGGGTTCAAACCTCCGATGCCTCAGGTCCACCTGCCACACATGTTTCGCCTAGTGTGACTTTTCCGTCGGGTTAGGTTTGTAGGGTATTAGATTCGGCCGGAGGGTTTACCCAGTGCACACTTTCGGATAGCGACTGCGGGTTCCCTAGTCATCCAAAAAAAAATAAAAATGCATCAATCCAAGTTTATTTCAATAATTAAAATTCCTAAATGATACTAATCTCATAAAGTTGAATAAAATTTCACCACCGCTGCCAACATTGTTTTCCAAGTGTCTCGATGGTTGTTTTCCGAAAATATCAGTTTGATATGCAGCGCATGTGAGCAACAATGCATCAATCCAACTTTATTTCAATATTTAAAATTTCTTAATGATATTAATCTCATAAAGTTGAATAATATTAGTATTTCAAAATAGTAAAAGTTATACTTCCTCAGTCTATTTTATATTGTCCTAATTAATATTTACATACTTTTGTAGGCAATTAATTAATTTTTTTTATTTTTATTTTTTGTTATAAGTTGACAAATTTGCTTTTTATCTTATATATAGAAAAGAAAAGAGTAGAATAAAAGAAAGACTGAATAACTTTTATGTATAAAAAAAAGAAGAAGAAGACTAATTGTTGAATGTTTCAAATAAGAAAGTCGAATATTGATTTGTGGACAAAGAAAGTATAATATTAATATAAGTTATATGCATTAATATCTTGAGTTAAAATAAATATTATATATATATATATTATTAGACAATAAAAATGTATAAAAATAAATAGATTGTTATGAATTATATAAAATAGTAAACATAATAAGTTGAATGCGGTGATATTACGAGTGTTAAAACAAATAATTTGAATGTTGACTTGGATATGATATAATAATAATTACAATAAATACTAATATATATATACTGTCAATGGTAATGCATATTACTCATATTGGTCCATTGTATTACTATTTTCTATATATATATATATATATATATTATCGGATACCATTTTCTATATCTTCCCAATACATAGTATATCCTTAACTTAGCAATAAACCTTATATATGTTGGTCAATTAGTCAATTAGTTGAATAAGTTCTTAAGGTAACATTCTCTTCTTGTTATGTGCAAGTGTAGGATTCATGGACATGTTAGATTTTCGAGATGGGCCGCAAGACAGGATAATTATTTGAATTTGAGTCTCTCTGTACCTCTCATTCCTATCCCCATTCTGCAATCCTTACCTCTGACTAATCGAGCCTTCATTGACATCTTCATTTAGGTCATGCATCTTCCAATAAGGTCCAGTCTTTGCATAATAAAAGTCTTTTAGGTCTAAGTCATTTTAAATATTTTAATTGTTTGCATTGCAAACTTGGTAAATAAATTTCTCTTAGTTTTACATAAAAGTTATTTATTGCTATTAAACCTTTTTTATTTAGGGTGTGTTTGTTTGGGGGTTTGGATTTTGGATTGGGATTTGAATAGTAAAAATTTTGAATTTGAATAGTTGTATGATGTGATATAAATAGGGTTTGATGTGATGTTTTGAATGTAAAATTGATTTTTAGTATAATATAAAAAATGAAAAATAGGTGTTTGATGTGATGTTTTTGGGGGGAAAAAATTGGATGAATAGTAGAAATCCTCCAAAATCCTTCAAACAAACACACCCTTAATGTATTTTGATAGTTGGGATCCCTCGCCTATCTCATCCAGAAATAATTTTCAATATTATGTTATCTTTGTTAATGATTTTTCACAATTTACTTGGATTTATTTTTTGATAAATTATTTTGAATTGCCCACTATATATGTTCAATTTGCTCAAAAAATTCGCACTCAAAGCTCACATCCTATTAAAGTCCTACGTACTTATTATTCTTGTCAGAACAATGACTCGTACTTTTACGGTTTCTATTTAGTCAGTGTACACTATTTCAACGTTCATGTCCTTATATGTCCTAAAAGATAGAAGGGCAAAACACAAACATCGTCGTATTCTCGATATTGTTGGTGCCCTTCTTCTCTATACTCAGTGTCCTGATCGCTTTTGGGGGGAAACAATCTTGACTGATGTTTACACTATTAATATACTACTCTTATCTATTCTTCATGAAGTCAATCCCTTTGAGCTATTATATGGTCAGTTTCCTAACTATAGTATGTTACACTACTTTGGTTTTGTGTCTTGTTATTTTTCCTCCCCATGAGCTGACAAAGCAACAACCTAGGGCTTGTTTATGTTGTTTAATGAGATACATGGTAGAAAACAAA